TTTTTTTCACGTTTAGGCATTAGGTATCTCTGTTGGCTTCTGGTGGCTTCTGGTAGCTATAGCTTCTGTTGGCTTTTGCTGGCTTCCGGTGGCTTTTACTGGCTTTTGGTGGCTTTTGTTGGCTTCTGTTGGATTTTGGTGGCTTCTGGTGGCTTCTGGTGGCTTTTGGTGGCTTTTGTTGGCTTCTGGTGGCTATTTTGTTGGCTTCTGGCGGCTATTTTGTTGGCTTCTGGTGGCTTTTGGTGGCTTCTGGTAGCTTTTGCTAGCTTCTGTTGGCTTTTGCTGGCTTTTGTTGGCTTCTGGTGGCTTCTGGTAGCTTTTGCTAGCTTCTGGCGGCTTTTGCTGGCTTCTGGTGGCTTTTACTCGCTTTTGGTGGCTTTTGTTGGCTTCTGTGGGATTTTGGTGGCTTCTGGTGGCTTTTGTTGGCTTCTGGTGGCTTTTAGTGGCTTCTGGTAGCTGTTGCTCGCTTCTGTTGGTTTTTGCTGGCTTCTGTTGGCTTTTGGTGACTTGTGTTGACTTTCGAAGGCTTCTGTTGGCTTTTGTTGCTTTTTGCTTTTGTTCGCTTCTGGTAGACCAGAAAAAAGTTCCCAAAAAAAAAACAGAAAAAACATCCTTTAAAAAAAACGCGGCCATATATCACTTATATTCACTTATTATGTTTGAAATTTTTGCACCACGTTTCACATTGTTAACCGGAAGAAATGCGAGGAACACTGACAGGGACACCCAGCCTGAGACAGGTGAGACGCAGAGACTGCATCATACCAAGAGGTTTGACCGCATAGCTTCGGCGACCCTGCGTGCAAACAAAGTGGGTGCTTCAAATGTGAAAGGTTCCGGTACTGTATTTGTTTGACAAACGGGAAGAAAAAGTCTGACATGGGGGCACGTTTGTTCCATCCACATATTGCCTTCAGTTTCATAGACCTATATGTTATGTGATATTCATAAATACATATATATATATATGTATATTTATATACATATTTTTGAATGGGACAAACCCTGCCTATCCAAACTCCTTGCGTACTTTCAGTGCTTGCCCTGATCGCAAAATCTAAGAAGGTAAGGATGTCATCTCATCCCTTTTGTGTGAAACAGTTTGTTTCGCACACGTAGTCTCACATCAATTATCCCAAAAGGCCGTCCCGGTCGACCGCGAGGTCAAACGTGGTGAACAGCGGGGAGATCAGTGAAGAGCAGTTCCAAGCGATGAGCGAGGAGCGGCGGACGTAGAGCGAGCGGCCCCCAGAGACCGGTGTGAAATACGAGAGATCAGGCGCTCACATCACGTTACCAGCATGTGGTCAAATGCACTTCTTGGGTCAGCGAAGCCTGATTTCAGTATTTTCACTGGTGAGAAGATGTGGTCAATGTCAGGCGATTTCGAGGGAGCAATATTAATCCGGCAACACTGGCTTGAACCCATTGTTATTCTTTATGGTGTGTGCTTTGGGTTCCATTCTTGGTCTGTTCGACCCGACGGATTCATGGCTGGAGGAGGAGCAGAACAAAGCTTGGCAGAACGAGCGTTCCAATAAGATCGAGAAACGCTTCACAGGCGCCGACCACCCGCGTCGCGACGACCCGAACGGGGGAAGACCGGGGGCCCTGCGCTTGGCCTGCGCTTGGCGCAAAGCTTTCTTGGCGAGGTGGCTCTACAAGTGCAGCGACCCCCCGCGAAACCTCTTCCATCACTTTTGCAAGTACCATGTGTTTTGTTTTTCCGTGTTTCCTTTCTCCAAGTTCCACACTTTAAAACCAGCAAGAATGAGACTGGCATAGAGTCTGCGTTTGCCATCGGGTTTTCCACATTTGTCCTTTGGACAGCAGCCTATTTTTGGTATCCACCAACTAGCAACTAGAACAAAGGGTGTCACAGAAACGCAATGAGACAGACCCAAACACCTGAAATCCTTACCATATCACCTGACCCAATGGATGATCCCTTCACCATCGTCCTTCAATCGAACCTCCTGTGCTGCAGTCACCCTGCGCGCGGCCACGGAGCTCCACAAGTCCTTCCCGTCAGTGCACGAGCACATACGCCAGAAGGAGGAATGTGTGGAACAGTTGAAGGAGAACCTTGGAGAAGGGTCCATGTTCTTTGACGAAGCCTGGTGAGTTTGGTTAGAAGGTTAGAAGAGATTTGATAAGGTTAGAAGGGATCCAAGCTACCTATCTCGTGGTCACCCGGTCACCATGGTCACCGTGATCACCTGAATTCACCAGGTATACGTGTCTTTTGCTGGTCGCAAGTTCGATGAACTGAATAACATGAAACTTGCTCAGTTCCGTGAAGGTACTTGTGTCAGTTCCGTGTATTGGTAGAGTGAGCGTTATTGTTTTGTTTTTTTCTGTTGGACGGTTTCAGAGTTCGAAACCTGAAAAAAACAAACATGTGACTCGATCCTTCAGTAGCTTGCCAGACCAAAACCATCCAAAACCATTGGAACCAAGACAAGAATTGGATGGTCAATGGCAGTGTTTTGTATTGGGGGACCCCTAGGGTCCTAGGAAACACTAGGAAACAGCCTGTTTGTCTGACATGCAGCACTTTGCGAACTCAAAAGCCAGGAAAAAGCCACCTCTGAAAGATACTACAACAACCATCGCCTTGAAGTCAAAAACATCTCAAACCTGTCGAAGGAGAGGATCGGCCCTGCCGGAGGAGAGGATCCCTCTGTCTCCTCTCGGCTCCGTTCGATCGCCTAGGAAGGCTTCAGAGGCCATGGAGGCCCGCGTGGCCGTCTTCCAACACGTGGAGCGTAGGGGCTCCCAGAAGTGTTGGGGCTCAATTTTGAGGTGTTGGGTGCAGGGAGGGAGAGAGAGAGAGAGTGTGTGTAGGAACGACCATTGATTGCTTTGATCCCAGTTTTGCATCCAAATGCCGCATGCTGCGTGCAACTGGGTTCCAGCCTTCTCTCGGGAGGAGTCGAAAAGCATCTGGACGAGGAGACTCGGAAGAGCATTCGCTGTGAAGAGGAGCGAGGCGCATGGAGCGCGGCGCATTCGTCGCGAGGCGCAGGTCGAAGTAGGTCGATGTGCGCTGATCTAGTGGAGGCACCAGTGCCCGTGAGGGCCGCTCCGGTGGTGCCCCAACCGAGTCATCCATTCAGCGTTGGTTGTGTTCGGAGGAGGTTTGAGGGTTTTGCGTCGTGGGTTGATTGGGCCCTTCAAATTACAATGACTATACAAGACTGCAAGGATTCTGAAACTGTTGAAAGCATGGTATATCTTCTTTTTGGGCAACCACCAGATGGCATGATGACGGCAACAAAAGGATGGCCGGGAACAAGAATTCAGCCCTGCAAAACAGACAATTGAATTTCTATATCTACATCAACATCTCCAGTGACCTCCAATGTGATGAATCATGCATCCGAATTTCCTTGTGCTGTCGATCATGTCTATGTGATCCATCATCTATGCAGCTTGCTGCGTGCGAGAGTCGAGAGGCGCGCCCGGTCGCTTGGGAGGCAAATCCACCGACCAGCTGCAAGTGGCCATGGACAATCTGCAGGAGACCAGGAAGGCGACGTGCAGATTCTCCACCCTACGGCTCCAAGTACCTCCTCACAAGGTATTTGGACCCTCTAAACCCACCCCAAACACCTTCTTAGAAGGTACTTGGAGCCCTAGGGCCAAGTATGTACTAGTGGATCCTAGGCAGCCTGTGGATCCTAGGAAGCAATGGAACCTGGCGCCCTCGGTCCGTCTTTGGTTTTGAGTCTGAACCACTGAAAAATCCCAGCGACATCGTGGTTGGCGATATCCACCTGAATTCGATGAGGGGACTCATTGACCCTAGGGCTCCAACCACCTCCTGAGAAGATGGTTGGGGTGGGTTTGGGGGGTCTAACCACCTTCGGAGGATATGGTTGGAGCCCTAGGGTGAGTACAGGGCTACTATAGACTTCCGGCAGGCGGCCCGACAACCGGATCGGATGCTGTACTGTTCCGGGAACGGCGCGGCTTTCGGTGAGTTGAGGGTGTGTGAAAGCGAAAGCGCGCGCGTGATCAAAGGATCCCATGTTTTGGCCATGTGTCGGCTAACAAATATGAAGGCGAGTGCATTCCAGGCACTGTTGAGTGTTCTTAGTTTCTGAAGTTGAGGATTTGGCCTGCTGCTGTTAGTTGATATGGTCCATATGGTTGTTTTTTTCGTGTTCTTTTGTGGTTCCGATGTTGTCTTGGCAATGATTTTGCGGTGCGCATCTTTGGGTAGCAGCGTTTGTCATACAGGATCGTTTATTAATATTGTTTGTGATTCTAGTTTTGATCAAACATCATCGTGTGCAACAACCTACAGTATATGGGCTTAGATAGAGCATCGAATAGGTCACAAACAGGATCTAAGTTTTTTGGTCCATTTCATAGCTTGGTCAGAAGTATTATCTCCAAATGTTGCAACGACTCTTTTCATGTTATGTACACCCGACACTGCATGCGGAGGCCTTCTTGAATGCCTTGATTGCGGCCGTGGATGCCAGGATTGAGTCGGACGCCGACTATCAGCACGAAAAGAGGCGGGAGGGAGGCTTCCAGCATTCATCAATGGGGGCTTTGAGGTTGCGGCGGGTTTGCTGTTGGGCTTGATATTGCAATGTGGTTTAGGACTGTATATCTTGGTAGTTATATATTGAATATATTGGACCCACTAGCAGAAATGGTCAGTAGGCACAGATGACTAGCGACAATGTTCTCCTGCTGATGTTTTTCAGAGCCAAAGCCGCTCCTACAAGTTTTGTTATTTCTCGTCATGAGTTGTCATGCAATTTCACACATAACATGATCTTATTTATTTGCACTTAGACTCGACCCACCATGACCTAGTCATCTTTTCCAAGAACCATCAGGATCGACTCTGGCAGAGCCATTATTTCCAAGGATGGAGCCACTCTTGTTTGATCCGCTGCGAGACTATTCAGATGATCTGGTATATCGGAAGTTGTTGCTGAGCCACGGTATCACGAGGCTGGCGACCCAGGCCTGGTTCTTCATTGCACCCTTGGTCTTGCTGCGCTTCACGCCCGGTCGCCTTGAAGGCCCCGCCGTGTGGGGCCTCGCAACGATGCTGGGCTCGGCACTACTCACACCACCCTTGGGTGCTTGGGCAGACCGGATGGATCGCTGCTGGGTGGTGACGCTGGGCGTCAGCGCGCAGGCATTGGCCGTGCTGGGCTCCACGTGGGTTTTGGCGCTCGATGCCGTCCAGAGCGGCTCTGGTGCGGCACTGCCAGCACTGGGGGCCTTCACATGCTTTAGCGTGCTGGAAGAGCTGGCCAGCAGCCTGAGCGATGTGGTGGTGAAACGGGACTGGGCACCACGGCTCTTTGAGGGTGAACGTTTGAGACGCGCCAACTCGATGATGTCGCAGATCGACCTTTGGAGTAAGGCTCTGGGACCCTTTCTGGCTGGGTTGCTCATGACCTTGCTGGGCGATGCCTTTGGCTTCGTAGCAGTTGGACTCTTGAACGTCCTCTCGTTCCCACCGCAGCTCCTGCTACTGCGCAGCATCTACACTGAACGTGTGTCCCAGCTGCAGCCTTTGCCAAAGGAGGTGCACGAGGCAAAGCCTTTGACGGCGAAGAGTGCGGCTTGGAGGGCGTGGCTTGATCACCCCAGTGGCATCCAGTTCTTAGGCATCTCCTACTCCCTCCTGTATCTGACGGTACTCTCTCCAGCAGGCCCCTTCCTCACGGCACACCTGGCGCAGTGGCAGGTGTCCAGTTTACAGCTCTCCTTGTTCAGAGGCGCCGGGGCATTAGTTGGAGTCGCTGGCGTCATGGTGTACCCCTTTGCTCAAGACCTTCTTGGCCCTCAGCTGGCCGATGCCGTTTTCGCACTCTGGCTGGCCACTTGGATTCTTTTGGCGCTGGACACCTTCCACCAAGCCGTTTCTGCTGGGGGGGCCTCTCCGGCTCTCCTCATCTTCATGTGTGCGGTGTGCCTTGCACGGCCTGGGCTTTATGGCTTTGAGTTAGGCTTGCTGAACACCCAGCAGGACCTCTCCGATGCTCGACATCGATCTGCCATCGGTGCCGTGGACTCGGCACTCGTCTCCTTGGCCACCTTGGCGATGTACGGGTCCGGGTTGGTGCTTTCACGGCCTGAGCAGTTTGTGGTGCTGGTCGATATGTCTACCCTTTTCGTCTCACTAGGCGTTGGCACTTACCTGATGTGGATGCTTTTGTACCATTCGCACAAGCACAGGCATAGCACACTAGGCATACTTGGAGACCTGTGCCATGAGCATGGCCACCATGGCCATGAACATTCACATACACTGCAGCAGGAGGAGGCTTTGACCGTGGATGGTTGGCACGAGCACATCCACTTCCACATGCCAAACTTGTGCGTACAGCAATGAGCGTGGCCAAACCTTTGGTGATTCATGCCATTCATGCGCGCAAAAAAGTATTTTGATGGCCTGAGAAACCGCATAAATTATATATAGGTAAACTTATTAAGCATGTGTTCTGTGTTCATCATGCATTACAATCATTTACAATCTATAATATATATCTGTATGTAAATATAGACAATGGCGTTTTGTGGTCAGCTTCCCCGGTAAAGAACTACAAACAAGATCTTGCATGGATCCTTCTCTCGTTTTCTAAAACCTAGAAATGCATCATTTGTAGATCCCGAGTTTCCCTTGCATACTGTCCGAAGAGAACTGGCCTGTCAAACCTCCAGAACACGCACAGGGTTGGTCATTCGGACATGGAACTGAAGGTGTACACAGCATTCTGTATAATATATAGATATTTGTGGTTAGAGTATAGAAGTACTGACATACTATATATATATATATCGTACTATATCACTATCTATGTTTTACGCCCTTAACAGGGATTACTCCTAAGAACAAAAACTGCCATCCGGAAGGACTTACCGCTTCCCGTGCATCGTCCTGCATTTGTTGATTCGTGTTGGCAGACCTTGACTGATTTGGTGAGTTGGCGCATCGAGCTTTCGGGGAGTTCGTCTTTGCGTGTGGAGCAATCGATCTGGGGTCCGGGTGGAAACATCAACTCTTCTATGAATGATTTGACCGTGAGATTCAATGTTTGGGTATGCTTGGGTCATCCTTCCATTCAGTTCTTCTCTCTCTTTGCAGAACATGTGATGTCCAGGCTGGGAGAGAGCATGAGTGCGACCCGCTCGGAGTTGCAAAAGGCCGTTGAGGCACACGCGACTTGGTGTTGCATCGCCACCTGGGCACCTGGGGCGGCTACCACCCATGGCAGGACATGGCGCACTCAGAAGAAAGGACATGTCAATGTAGGGAGATCCCCCAATCCCCTCCAGCAGGTACGAATTTTGTCATTGGATGACAAGAGCTGATTAGTCTCGGTTGGATGTAAAAGTGGTCGTTTTTGAAAAAACTGCTTGCGCGATTTGGTGTTGTGGGCCATCGACGATGGCCAGCTTCACCGTCTCAAAGCAGCGGATTATGGGATCTCAACTTCCAACCTTTGCTTCCAAGGTCCTGTGAGCTTCCGCATCAACCTGGTGCCAACGAGCAAAACCACCTGTCACAGTCTCTCAAGAGCTCGAGAGCGTCGATAGACCGCAGTCGCTCAATCCCCTCCCTGGGGTCGATGAGCTTTGCCGGTCGAGTCGACCAGGCACGCGACTTGGTGTTGTATCGCTGTGACCAAGTGGAGAAGCAGGTGCGGCGGTGGGGTTTGCCGTATAGACGGATCTAATTCTAGGGATAAGTGTGGGTGGGCTTGTGAGTTTGGATTTAGTACCAGGACGGACAGTTCAATGATCAGGAAGTAGAAGCAGGACTGGCATGGTTTTTGTCAGTGAAGGTTCTCGATCCCTTGGATCAGTTTGGATCCCTTTCATGGTTTTGCCACACAAGTTGGTCTCGAAAGCTACAAACGCTTTGCATTTGTTGTGCACGTTTGACTTCCTATAGTACATCCGCCAACCCCTCAAGAACAATCTTCAAATTCCTCCCAAATCCAAGTGCCTCCTTGGACTATTAGAAGGATTTAGAAGGTCTTTGGACCCTCCAGACTCCAGGCCTACATCAAGGTGTCTCCCATCACCAGAAGGCAGGTAGATCGACCCCCCCAACCGTCCATCCTCGACTCCAGGTCGCCGAACAGACGGAGGCAGTGCGGCAGAAGATCGAGGACACACTTGTTCATCGGGGGGAGATCCCATAACCAATGCCCGACTCCATGGAACTGGCATAGACTCCATGGGACTGGCGATACCCCATTGACCTCCAAAGCAACCACCGGCCGTTTTGAAGGCAGTCCGTCCTGGCACTCCCAGTCGTGGAATGGGAATGGGTAGACCTGGTCATTTGGGGTCCATGTCGCGAAGGAGGGTCGGAAACGCCTGGGAGGTCTCGACCTCCGTATTTCGAGACACAGGCCACATCGAAATGAAAACATCCGTGGAGGAGCTTGCATTCCAATTAGAGATAGTCCAGTAAATGAGATTTGACCTGGGTACTCTAGGATTCCCCTGCAAGTACCCAGTATAGTGACACCGTTTTTTTATGTTGTGGAATTAATATATATATATATATATGTTGCTTTTTCATGGGACGATCGGCTCTGGCCGAAGTGGGAAGACTCTGAAAGCATGTGAAGACGGGTTCTGCAGGAGAAGCAGAAGGATCTATTGTCGCACACGGTGCCGAGCGTGAAGGACCTGCGTGCGTGAGCTCGCCAGCCTTGTTGCTCAGACCGGGAACAATTGAGGTAGTTTGCGAACCGTCGCAGCGAAACACCAGCAACTTCCATGCATGGATTCATGGCCAAAGACAGCATCGTCGATGTACAGGTTGAGTTGTTGTGAGCGCTGGAGCCAGATTCCTTGGAACACCAGGGGGAATTCGCCACACTCTGCAGGATGAAGAAGGGAATAACGGTTTGCAAAGCAATCAGCGGCCGGATACAAAATTGAAACAATCAGCGGCCGGATACAAAATTGAAACGTACCTCACTTGCGGATGATGCTGCAAGTACTAAGTCAATGTAGCTTCCATCAACGGAATTAATCTGGCTCAACTTCAACTCAAGATTCCAGCATCGAACATCGCTTCATCATCCTTGGTTTAATTGTATAGAAACAAAATTGCTTTTTGTGGGGTCCAACCTTACCTCACTTGCTTGGGCCATAGGGTTGTTTTAATTGCCTCTTACACGGTGACCACATGTAAACCGTGTATCGAAATGGGAAGAAAAAACCCAGGTCGACCCCCTGAAAGATAACATCGACCAGTCTAGCCAGTCTAGCCAGGGTGTCATCCCAGGGTGTCTCACACCCCAGGCATTCGACGCGATGTGGAGCTCTCAATTGTTTTGTTTCGTTTGCTTTAGGAAAATCACCCAGGTTTGATGTTGTGTGCATTTGTCCTGGAAGTCGAGCCCTCATCAGAATTGTCACCCAGGATGTCCAAAGTTCGATGTTGTTGTTTTCATGCTACAGTATCTTTTGTGTTTCATGGAATTCGTTGATGGTGGTGAGCTAACGAACGTTTCAGAGCCACCTTCTTTGCAAGTTCACATAAGTTGCATGTGGTGCTCAGATGAGACCTCTTGTCCGACTGAATTTAGAGTCGTGTGCTTTCATTGCATTGCTGGGTCTAAACCGCTGTCCACGATGCATCGTTCTCAGGAGCATATGCTGAATCTCGCATTGAGTAATGAGCTCTTGAACCGTGTGAGGGAGGAGAAGAAGGAAGAGTTGGAGGTTCTTCACAAGGACGTCGGACAGGGATTGAGTCCTTGTCTTAGACAGGACTCAGTGGATGATGGGAAGGTTCATGTAATTACCCGTATATGATGTAGTTGGATTCACAGGGCCCCGCAGCGAAGAGGATGCGATTCTGGCTTGTTTTGTCTTGTTTTGATTCACAGCTACAGACTTGGAGAGTTCGGACGGAGCACCAAATCCTCCGCAGCATAACAGCAGCCCGGACCGGTCTCTGTTTTCTCCGGCACGGAACTCTTTTTTGGCCTCCGTGACACGAGGAGCGCGATGTGGCCATTGCCAAGGTGAACGCCTTGAGCACCAAGCAGCGGGGCAACAAATCCAAGCCAGCGGCCCCAGTGGAAGCTGAAGTGAAAAGCCACCAATATGACTTGGGTTTGTCCGTTCTTACCTGTAACAGTACCCGGTTTCACAAGCAATTCACAATTTTTGGACAAGGCCTCTACTAACCATCATCCACTGAGGCGCAGGTAAAGGAGGACGACCCAAATCATATGCCCATATGCCCATGGATCAGACGCCTGGGGGGCGCGGGTTGTTCCCACTGAAAAATGAACCCTAAATCAACTTGCCGAGAAGGTCAACTGCTCAGGAGGGAGGCTTAGCTCAGGCGGGCTCCAGGTCTTGAGCCACGGCCATAAGAAAGGCCCAGACCTCTTTATAAGGAAGGTGGTGGAATCCTTAGTGGAAGATGCTTTGTCTCAGGTGTAAAAGGTCTACTTCCAAACAAAAACACGCTGGAAAGGTGTTCTAAGAAAAATGAACAGCACACATCCACATGGAGCATGGAAAGGTGTTAGTGGACAGGTGTTTCTGCTCGGTACTTGTGGAAACGGGAAGATGTCACAGGAGCACTGTGGCCAATTGAGCGAGTTTGAAGATAAACACTTGCCTCAAACGTGACTGGTGTGTCTTTCGAAGGTTCGACCAAACTACTTCACACGCACAGCTGCAGTTTTTTTCAGCATGAGACGTCTGTCAGACTGTGCAGATCCTTCCCAAAGCACGTTTAGGTTTTTCTTTTTCTGAGCTGGGAATTCCCAGCCATAGCTTTTGAAGGCACCAACACCATTGGTACACCCGCTCTTCCAAGAGATCGTACACGATCTTTGCATTTGTTTGCTAATCACTGGTGCAAAGTCCGAGTAGTTCCATCGAGGCGGGAATCTCTCTCGGTTAGGCACATGGAACTTTGACATTGCTCAACTCAGTTCAAACCATGAGGGATCAAGTTTCATGCCTCCACTGAGTAAGAACATGGTGCTATCGACAAGAAGATGAAGCTGACTGCCCCCACAATCCCCCACCCACCCATCTTCATTGGGCAAGTCACAAGTTCCTTGCGCAGACACAATATGCACAACCCCTGAAAAATCACCAATAGGACGCATGGAACCCGTGGCATGCCCAGGATCCACATTGGTCGAATCTAGATTCTAGATGGTACAAATTGCATCGACACAGTCAAGTGGTTTGTTTTTTACAGTCAAGTGGTTGTCGTCAACTCACGCCTGCCCAGTGGGCAGCTACCCTAGAACACCTGTTTGGACAGCTACCCTGAGGAATCACGTCGGAAGTGAGGCATTCGCATGCATCAAGCCAGGCTAGATCTCTCGCGCAAGAAGGAGGAGGCGCATCATCGGGAGGTTTCCTGAGTGTTCACATCCCAAGAATGAGCTTTCTGCTCCACCCTGCCGATCTGGCAAGCTGAGCCATCCATCTAAAAGACTTGGCCAGTCATGTCCTGGTGAGAAGTTCCTGGCGCCCATGGTTGTTTTGATGTGTTTTTGCTGATGTGTGTTTCTCAAAGCCTGCGGGATTTGCCGAATCTGATTGCGGAGCCAACTGGCACCAACTTCTGGGGCAGAGAAGCTGGTACCTGGGTATATAACCATCTCACCCACTGAAGAATCGGCAGACTCCAGGTTACAGTAAGTGCTCATGACTCATGAACCTATTGATTTTTGTTGCAAATCTTCCATGTTTACTACGTTACTACTTTCAGAAATGATTCACCCAAGACTCATGGTCATGGATTATATAGGTGGGATCGAATCAGGAAGAGTTGGTGCAGGTAGCTGCTGTACTTCACAATTCTGAGGATCACATTCATGAGAGTTTATTGGCCTGAGCTAAACCAAACATTTTCTAGAATCTGTTTGCTGTGTGCAAAACCGGCAAAACCGAACATTGCAGGTGAGCAAGTACATCAAGCTCATTGAGAGCCGCCAGCAGGCACGATTTCATTGTTTTGGACTGCTTTTTACGTTTAGTGTAGACTGTATAACACATTTGGTTGGCCGGTGCAAGTAGATACCTGACAGCCCATTGGCAAATCCAAGTAAGTTGGCAGAAAGTCCAACGACCGACAAGAAACAAGCACTAGGACATACTAAGACTCATTAGACCATTGACTTGAGACCCCAAATGACAATCGCTTCCTTCTGATTCTCAGGTCATCCAGATACTACATGACGTGTGTATTGAAATAGGGAGACAATGCCGACCCCCCAGTTCGACCCTGTCTACCCATGGGTTGGAGACCTCCCTATTTCATAGGTTGGAGGTTGAAGAGAAGCAAGATGGGACTGGGGAAAGGTTTTTCCGCTAAGCGAAGGGCACCGAACCTCCTTTCAGCGGCGACCCGTCTTCCCGGAGCGACCGGAGCGAACGAGATCCCGTTGTGCTCACAGCAAGAGGAGCAGCAAGATCCAAGCTGTACCAACAATCAATGCCACAATCAATGCTTTGATGTGGGATCCAAGCACATGGCATGATGGGGTGGTTGCTTGTTTCTCACCCTAGGCTACTGATAGAATCATATAGAATCCGTGCACCCTTTGAGAAAGGAAAAGGCCAGGAAAGCGTGCATATCCAACTCCATTGTGTTTATCAACATGATGTCCTTGAGTCCGTCGCGAAAACGTCGCATCAAATGGCACCTGCAGAGAGCGACGTTTTGTCGCCGTGAGAGCGACGTGCCGTACCATGTTGGACGTCTTTTCGCACCGCTCGAGCTGATGTGAATGGTCCGACCCAAACTGGCCATGTCTCTCCATGAAGCATACCATTTCCATTGAACTGCCTCAAAACCCATGAACTATGTCCCTATGTTCCCAAAATGGGGTTCCCAGTTCAGGTCACCTGACCTACAGAGGTGTTTGCCTTTATGTCGCCTATCGTATGTACCTATGACGTGCCTATGTCCCTGTATCTGATGGGGTACCACTTCAGGTCTCAAGACACCTTTCAACCGGTACCTTTTGGTACCCAGCACTCGACGGGTCTTGGAGGTCTTGGAGGCCTTGGAGACGGAGCTCCACCGGGCTTCGGAGCAATATGCTGCCTGGCAAAGGTACATATGTTTGTTTGGTCACAGCTTTATTTGGCACGTTTAGATTTTATCTGTGACGCCTTTTTTGATAATTGTGAGTTTTTTTTGGTGACATAGCTGTATAGCTTGAACAAAAAGGCCATAAAATAAGTACAGGGTACAGTGTTCCACCCAAATGCATCCAAATGGTGCAAAGTACGCAGTGTACAAGTTTTGTAGAGCGTTTTAGTATGTTTTAGTTATATACATAATATACATCATATTATATACATCTGTTTTACGGACTTTACCCCAGAATAGGACGGACCCCTAAATCGACTAAGTATCCACCATGGTTGACCAGTGTGGTTGGTACCTTGCTTCCTTTCGTACTCCACGTGTGGCCACGACCTTCGCTGAGGAGTTCTGCCGGTCCTTGGGGGTGCACCACTCAGAGCTGGACCATGAAGATGCCATGCGTTTGGCCAAGGCCAGGTGCTACGCCTGTGAGCTATCGCTAGGAGCTCGGAGCCAGACGGCCTTCATTCGCTAGACGAACGAAACGGGGCGATCGGACCGGACGCTGCGAACGGGGTAAGGGGCGCTCCGGGCCTTTCTACGAACGGGACAAGAAGCTACTATAGGAACAAAGGGATATGAGTCACTAAGTCACTGGTGGGTACGCTGGTGGGTGAGGGAAAATGCATGCGCGGCTGCGGTTGGGACGGATCGAACTCGCAGTTAGTGATACTTGAGGATCAAAAAGAACGCCGACATCGCACCAGATGGAACGTGTGTCTCCCCACGATCGTTCAATATGTTGGACTGTAATTACATTGTTTTACCCAAACAGCGATGATGAAAGTGGTGTCCTAAACAGATAGAACATGATAGGACCCCCTGCTTTCACCTGGCTTCAGCAATCGACGACAAAGCCGCCGTCTTTGGCGCGGGGCGGGGCAACGTCCAGGCAGAAGCGGACCGTTGCCTGGGCAGCTTTGAATTTTGGAAGGAGGATGAGGCTGAGGTGCTCGTGGAGTTGATTTGGATGTCGTTGACTCTTTTAGGTGTACTACAGATATCCACAGGCAATTGGGTGATATGGGTGATGGGTGATAGTCTTTGTTGCTTTGCTTTATCAGCAAGGTATGGTTTGACGGGTGCTTCTACTGCATACAGATATGCAGTTGCTGTATTCCGATTCTACATTGATTTCTGCAAGATTAAACTTTTTAGGCTCGTGTTCAACTATATATATATATACACATGCAGTATGTGGACGCTGAGCAAAGAAAAAGTATTACGCCTCCCAAAGCAGGGCAGTCGGTAAGCAATCGGTGATTTGTCATTCTCACCAATTGAGCAATGCGCGTCAACTCACTCAGGGTCTCCCCATTTGATCGCCCTCGCTGTCCAAAACTCGGAGGCGCCATAGATCAATTAATGCTTTTGAAGTAGCTCCCACGGTGTGCAGGTCCAGAAATACCATAGAAGCTCACTCGCGGGCGTGGAAAGCCAACTTTTGTGGGGGAAGAAACATTATCTACAAGCCTGCAATCAACATCGGGATTTGAATCGTTTCGTTTGTGGAGTTCAGATCCTGAAAATGGGTCCAGGCCATCACTGAGGAGGCCGACCCGAACTGCACCACGTTGCAGATGCTTGGCTGGGTTGGGGGTTGGTGATGTGGGAGGCTTTGTTGATTCCAAGTTCCAAGGACCTCGGAAGCTTTCAGGGCAGGGGTCAAATCCTGGACCCCCGAAATCTGCAATAAATCTGCTAGATGAACATGCGATCTAACCCAGTCAGGATGTTTTCGTCCACACGCTACAGCTGTGCTTCCGTGCGCAGTCAGCAAAGACCCGGTTTTGCTTCGAAGGAGCTTGAATGTCGTTCCAACCCGAGCACACAGGGATTCTTCAAGGCGTAATCAGCGAGGAGCCGGATGAGTGTTGCATGGTCCTGGGGATGGTGAGACTCCCCTCCCCATCCTGTGCGGCATGTGGTACTCACCTCCTACCAGGCGTAGACCGATTGTGATGTATGCTGATTAATCTCAACAAATACTGTGTTGACAAATCCAGCTTACAAGTCGTGCAGAATCAGAGCACTCAATGAAATGTTGCTCCTCCTCCACCCACGAGCGCCACCCATGGCTTTGCCTCCTATTTAACTAAAGCACGGCGTAACTTCAGGGGTTTTTCACTCAACGACTGGGCGGTGGCTGTGGTGGAAGCACCGTCCTCCGCACACCGCACCTGAGGCTCATCTCGGCCAAGAAGGACCTCGAGGCTTCCTCTGGGAATCGGGACACCAGCTCGGGTCCATCGGTTTGCCACAAAAAGCCGGACTGGGCAGACGGAGGTGGAGAGGCTGCGGAGGGAATGCTTGGGAGGTAAAGCTATCGTTCAAGAGACTTGGAGGTGGAGGTTGAGAGGCCCGGCTGGGACTGGATATTGAATTGGCTAATAAGGCTGTGAATTGGCTCGGTCTGTGGGGAGGTGCAGTAGACCTTCTGAAGGGTTGAGATGTTGCTGTCTGAACTTTCTGGGGCGGAGAACCGCTAAAAAAAGGCAGGCTGGTTTTGGTGTTCTTTCCAGGATGTGCTTTCAAGATGTTCGAAGATAGAAAGAATACTGGTCAATCCTTGATCAACGAATTTCAATCTCTCTTCGATTGTGCCCAAGCCGGAGCAGTGCAGGGTATTTATAAATAAATATTGATATCCTTGCCAGGTGTCAACAAATGCCTGGCCATGCCTGGCCTTAACAAGACAAACTTTGTTGTTTATATTTTCTTGTCACTTGGTACATTGAGTGTTTCCTCGACCATGCGATCGTCGGAGCTTGACTAACTACACATCCTGACCTGGTCCTCCACAATTGCCAAGAGTTTCTGACTTTTGAGCCATCTTCTGGCCAAAATCCAAACGAACTTCAAAGGAACGACTGAGCCAAAACTTGAGGCAAAATGGTTTCTGGAGATATGGTTTGATGGCTCACTTAGTTCTTGATTTCCCTGCGCTTCATCAGTCAAACTCACCACACCAACATCCTTTTTATTTTTGTTCACATGGCTTTTATTCAACAACGATTCAGTTGTTCAAACCCGACAAGGCATGCTATTTAGCAAATCTAGTCTTTTGTTGAGATCGTTTTACATTCAACCTTTTTCCAGAATTTGCGTCCCCACCCAAAGGAGGATGACGGTGAACAGTGAAGAGGGTTACGGTTACTCCTTCATGTTTTGCGGATTGGTTCTTGATGAGTTTTTGGGACACAAAGTCTCGGCCAGGATCAGATGACGCAGGCCTTCAAGAGGGAGCTGGATCAGGCCACTCAAAGCTCTTCCTCACAGATGACCGATCAGATGATCCCTTTTTGCACGAACGCCAGGTTCACGCGGACAACCGCCTTGAGCACCAGAGGAAAGATGAACAGTGGCTTGGAGATTTCGATGCAACTGGCAAAGATACTCAGAATTCCTTGAAGCAACACATGTGCGTTGCCTCCCGAGAATGGAAGATATAGTCAGACTTGCAATGGATTGTTGATACATTCAGGATCGGGGGATTGATCCCGCAATAGAAACTGAAGGGTACCAATCTAGAATGATCAGAGGTCCTTGATATCGAGCTTCCCAATCAATGGGAGTTGATCGAAACCACCTGCATGTTCAAGGAATTACCGAAGCTGACCCCTTTGTTCATACTGATTAATTAAGTGTTCACGTGCAATGACATGAGATTCTTTCTTGTCTTAATGATTAAACCGCCAGTGCGGTTTCGATGTTGCTTGGTATGTGGGGCGCAGAGCCCGTCGGGACCCGTTCGTCGGGGACGGTGCCAGAGCCACAGGGCTCTCGTCGCTTCCGCCGAGGCTGGAGGACATGCGGGCCCAGATGGAGCAGCAGCAGGAGGTCACTGCGAGAATGCAGGAGGGCCGCGACGGTGTCCAGCAACTGGTCGGGAAAGATGCAAATCACCATATGAAGTGGTGGTTAATATGGAAGGTGCCAAACCAGGAATTCTGAAGGCGGCATGGAAAGAAGTTTTTGATTCAGTCAATGCATCTCAGTTTCGTGCACATGGAAGAGATGTGCGTGAGTGAACACCAGATAATTGGTAGCAATTGTGCAGTTGCTTTTGCCATCTGTTGTCAGATCGTCTCTAAATCATGATATTATATTTGCTATATAATTGGTTGGCCAGAGACCAATAAAGGATGAACTGCACCGCCCCGGCGCCCCAGTGTTTGATGAATACCCCAGTCAGATGGGTTTCTTTGTGTCACAGTATGTTCTATGTGTGTGTGTGTTATTTCTTTTGTATACCCAGGTCCTATAACCAACCCCTTACCTTCAGATTGTTTCCCGATCCTTGCTTCAGCTAAACGTGGGAGTTTTTCCTTCCCAGGACATGATGGTGCAGATGCAAGAGATGCTCCGAAAAAGCGGTGTGGCACTTCCACAGGACTGCGACCGACCGTCTCGGTGGAGTACACCGAGGCTGTGGACATCTGTATATAGGGGGTTGGTCTCAGACACTCAAACGCTCCATGGGACTGGCGTGGGAACGAACCCGGGCGCATGTCCGGTCTATATTCCGGACATGGAGCGGGTGAGAGGGAATGTCTCCACCAGTGAGGATTGGACATGACTCTGGTATTCCCCACGGTCCGTTCAGTTTGTTAAAAGGACTTCGGGGGACTATCTCCTGTGACTCTGACCATCACCAAAAGGTTTGTTTAATCATTTTTCTCCATTACTCATTACTCATGTGAATATGTTGTTTGTCTAGCCGCTGGCTTGAGATGGGTAATCCCTTGAGGCAGATCTGTTCAGGTTTATCCACTTTCCTCTTCGGGGTGGGTCTTCCCATTTAGCTGCACTTACTGGGGTCAACCACCTGTCTCAACTTCTAAACAATAGACAATAGATTCATATAGATTCTAATATATTGCTTGGCTGGCATTGATGAATAGATTCGACTAGGGTTGGTATACTATAGCCTGTAGGCATCCAAGAAAACCTACATAGATGTGCTACCATCAGATCCGAAATTCTTGGACGGATACATTCTGAATTCTGGGAGACTAATCTAGGCAATGCTCACATAGAAAACGAACCCTGTGGAACAAGCTGCAAGTTTCATACTCGGACCAACCAGGTGTCACCAATGGACTACACTACGGCTCGACTCAACTTTCAATTAGAATATATATATATATACACTGAAAATCTACCTGTTTTGTGAATCAGTAGACTGCATACAGATGTCTGCGAAAGAGAACTGTTGTCAAATGATGTTCAAAATACAATGGAAGCTCTTGAAGACAAGTGTTCACTTTTGGTGTTCACGAGATTCCCTGAAAAACAAATTTGCCAACCCCCCCAAAGTCAGTGTTTTGCCCGTACTTGCCAAGAAAAAACTCGCCAATCCAAACCCCAAAACAAGGTAAAAACAAGAGAAAACGATGTGTTGAAGACGTGTTTGAGCCGTTTTTGTTGCGTCTTTTTCTCCACGTGCCCTCACCGCTCACCGTCCCTCACTGTCTACCGTCGTGGGTCAGGAGATGCCCCGTGCCGACTCGGAGGGTCGGGAGCGAACGGAAGCGGAAGCGGGTGTGGTGTTTCGGTTTGTCCCGGCAACCGGGTGGTTAGGGGGTCAACCGGGTGGTTAGGGGGGTCCATGTTACTAAATCCGCCTGCAGTAGGTGAGTTGCAAGTGGCGCTCCAATGCTGCTCTTCTTGTTGGGAAGCAGACGATCAAACAGGGCCTTGCAGAAAGACAGACTCTGGGCCTCTTCCACTCTGAGCTTGTTCACAGCTGCCCAGGTGGGGGTTCAAGTGGTAACCACTGGTTAACCCGGAGGAGCACTTTGACCGGATGCCGAACGAACCGCTCCAAGTAGCCCAACCCATGTGGCCTTCTGGACTTTAAACATTGGGTGATGCCCAACCCATGGGTAGACGGGGCTATTTCCCGAACCTTGCAATGGGTCGGAACACCTGAGAGGTCTCCTACTTCAAGACACACTGTGGCGGGCACGAAGATATTCCTTTGTGGTTGTTCGACCAAACTCAACCTAGTAGCAATGGCCTCCAACCTAGTAGCAATGTCCTCCAACCTAATAGCGATGGTCTCCAACCTAGGAGTGATGGCATCCAATAAGATTTACAATACTCTTGCTCCTCCTCCCTCCCTCGCTCTACCTTGCCTTAACGATGCACTGCCGGCACTTCACGTGTTTGACTCGATAGGCTGTCACTACAAAGTTCAAAGTCAAGTCATCCTAAGTCTACCACTAGTATCGTTGGTTCAACTTATAGGAGGAGCTTGTTCATCCTAGTCAAGGATAGTCATCCTAAGTTCAAAGTCTAGGGAGTGACTCTTCACACCGATTGATTCCCTATATTGGAGCATCGATGAGCAGCCATGAGCACGCGCTGCCGCAGGCTACCACATGGTTCCCGATAACGCTTCAGCTGAGACCACGAGTGATGATGCATCAAATTAGACTCCTGGGTGATACTAGATGTCAGGTTCCACAAGACTAGTTTGTAACAGCTTGAAAGGGGATGCATGAAACGCAACTGTTTTCCAACCCTATTTGAGCAACCGCTTTCATTTGTGTTATGCTAAAGTAGTCAACAGCTTAAAAGATGCTTTGGCCCCACATCCTTCCCCAGGAAAAAAAGAGATATGAGATGCAGGTTCACATGGTATGCTAAGTATGGGTTTTGACATGCTTTAACGAAAACCCACTACCATAAATGCATGCACATGAGATCCTTCTACACAGGGGGGTATTATGCGTTCGCACCTCTTACCTTTGTTCCGGTGGTCCTGTTTAGTTCAATGAAATCACTACAGTGCAACATAGGTGTCCTCACCTCATTTATGCATCTTGCGATTGTCCGCATCGGTTTTCTTTTTTGTTCAATGAACGTATATATACATACACAACGCGTCCGCGCCTCACACCTACGTTGCGGTGGTCCGCACTTTGCTTAGTTCAATGATATCACTACCGTGCAACATAAGTGTCCGCACCTCTTTTATGTGTCTTGCGGTTGTCCGCATCTTCTTAAATCAACACATATACAACAGGCGTCCGCGCCTCTTAACAAC